CACACCCACAAATCCATCACATGGTCCAATCCTCTTCTTCCTCACTGGCATCTCCACCCAGCTTCTTCCGGTCAGGTGCAAAGGTGCAGAGACAAAGAATAACCTTGAGCTTCTAGAAAGGAATTTTTTGTTTTGAAAACAACACATTCTACCTCTTGCTATTCCCCCGCCCCATTAATGAGAGTGTGGCAGGCCAAAGATTCTTAAAGGAACCGCTGCAGGCCTGACACTCCTCCTTTCTCCTCCTCTTTCTCTTCCTCCTCCTCCACCACCACCACCACCACTTCAGGAGTCAATGGAGAGATGGGTATTGTAGACTTTGTTGTTTTGAGGGTGATCTTTGCACCAAAATCTTCTCAGCTCTGTCTCTGAATTCATCGTTTGGGATCCCCAGTCCACAGAATTCTTCTCTTAGGAGTCTCAAAAGGGGGGATGAAATAATTTTAGCGGCCTGTTTCTGCTTCGCTCCTTCCAGGAATTCCAGAAGAGTCCAAAGTCGAGGCTCCTGCATTCACCGACGCTGTGCGGATGTATCGCCAGTCAAAGGAGCAATACGGCACCTGGGACATGCTTTGTGGCAACGAAGCCCAGGTGAGTTATGTATCTGGAAAGACCTTAGGGCGGAGTTTCAGGCAGAGGTCAGATTCAGCCGGTTTGTACCAGTTGGGGCGAACCGGATGTTAATTTTGCAACCGGTTCGCCGTACTGGTTATTGCAAGGACCGGCTGGCCACGCCCCACCCTCCCAGGAGTCTCCATGCAGCCCGTTCATCATGCCAATACAGGGCCTGCGTGGAGGCTTCGGGAGTGCAAAAAACAGGCCTCCCAGAAATCTGGAAATGGGCCAGTTTCCGGCCTTCGGAGGGCATCCAGAGCCTGATGAGAAGCTGTTTTCACCCTCCTGGAGGCTCGGGAAAAACCTCCAGAGCCTGGAGAGGGCAAAAACACCCCGAGTAGGCCACACCCACTATAGCCACGCCCACCCAGCAACAGGGCAGAGAACAGGTTGCTACCATTTTTCAATCCTAGCACTGGTTTCAGGTTGGCTTCCGAAGCCCCCTTGGCAGCCCTCCTCCAGCTTAAATGTACTGCAGTTTTGAATAATTTTAAGTCATTAGGAAAAGGAAGCTTGGATTGATGAACTGCTGGCCAATTTGTTCCTTGTTCAGTTGGAACGGTGGAGCAGACAAGAGTGCGTTGGCAGTTTGGTGCCCTTGGCGGTTGGATGACTTGAGCGGAAGTTGTTAGCAAGAGGCTTGTGGGTTCAGGCTTGCCATCTCCTCTCTCATCCCACCCTCTTTATTGGGCTGCACACCCACCCTCGAGGCTCGGTTGGGGCATGGGCAAAAGTCTTCCCTGGGAAACAGTAGTCATGTCCTCCCCAGGGAAGAAGGGATGTAGCAGAGGGAGAGAACCTCATTTGGCACTGCAAGGGGAGGGAGGGAAGGGAAGGGAAGAAGGGAGATAGAAAGTATGAAAGGAAAGGAAGAAAAGAGATAGAAGGGGAAGGAAGGAGATGAGGAAGGAAGGGAGAAAGTAGGAAAGGAAGGAAAGAGATAGAAGGAAGGAGATGAGGAAGGGAGGGAAGGAAGGGTGCAAGGAAGGAAGGAAAGAGAGGGGAGGGAGGGGAGGGGAGAGGAGAATCCTTGCCTTGTGGGCCTTCTGCATTTTCATTTCCCAGATTTGACTCCCTTCTAAGTGAGAAAGTTTGGGATGAAGGGAATGAAATAATAAACCAAGGAAGGGGAGAGTTGTCTGTGAAACAGCAGGCAAATGGGGGCGTGGTTGTGATTGACAGGCTGTGGTCCTTTCCTTGTCTAGATCTTGAGCAACCTGGTGATGGAGGAGCTCCTGCCTGAGCTGAAGAATGCGATTGGCCCCCGGCTGAAGGGCAAAGAGCAAGAGAAGCAACGGGCATGGATTCAGGTAGGGAGCAACTTACGTGGCAAGAAGCTTGGGGAAGTCGCTGCTAGAAGGTTCAATGGAGTAGATGGATTGATGAATGGATGGAGAGATGGATACGATAGAGAGAGAGAGAGAGAGACAGAGATGGATGGATGGATGGATAGATAGATAGATAGATAGATATAGATAGATAGATAGATAGATAGATAGATCTAGAGATAGATAGACACAGGCAGACAGACAGATAAATATAGAGATAGATGATAGATAGACAGATAGACAGACAGACAGACAGATAGATAGATAGATAGATAGATAGATAGATAGATCTAGAGATAGATAGACACAGGCAGACAGACAGATAAATATAGAGATAGATGATAGATAGATAGATAGATAGATAGATAGATAGATAGATAGATAGATAGATAGATAGATGATAGATAGATAGATAGAGATATAGAGATATAGAGATATAGCGATATAGAGATAGATATAGAGATAGATAGATGATGATAGATAGTTAGACAGACAGACACCAGTAGATGAGAGAGAGGGAGATGGAGGGATGGAGACAGACAGAGATAGACAGAGAGACAGACAAAGAGATGAGAGAGAGATGGAGATAGACAGACAAATAGACAGAGATAGATAAGTAAGAGATATAGATAGGGAGGGAGGGGGGGAGAGAGAGAAAAAAAATGAGAAAAAGGTGGAGAAGAAAGAGAAGGAAGAGGGAATAGATAAGGAGAAGGAAAAAGGGGAGAAGGTAGAGAAGGACAAAGTGGAGAAGGAGGAAAAGATGAGGAAAACGAGAAAAAGAAAGAGAAGGAGAGAGGTAAGGAGAAAGGAGAAGATGGAGAAGGAGAAGAGTGATAAGAAAGTGAAGATAGATAAGGAGAAGGTAAAAGGGGAAGACAGAGAAGGAGGAGAAGACAGATAAGGAAAAGGAGAAGGAGGTGAAGATAGATAAGAAAAAGAAGGAAAAGGAGAAGATAGAGAAGAAGAAGAAGAAGAAGGGAGAAGAGATTGGATCTAGTATGGAAATGAGGAGTGGTTCTTAAAAAAGAACTATAGTTCTTATAGCCTAAAGTTTTTAACGCTGCACCCAAACTTCTCTCGGTGTTCAGCTTCTTCCGTGTGGCCACAGTGATGACCGGGGGGGGGGGCATTTGGTTCCAGCCCCTTTGCTTGGGTGTTCTTCCCTCTCATAGGATTTTCTCTCTCTCTAAAGTTCATTTGCACTTTTGCAAAACTTGGAGTTAAGCCCAGTCCAGGGGAAAAATCACCCTCTTTGTGCCCAGCTGCTGACATTTTCACATTGGCAGGGAACAAAATCGTGGCAGAATTGTGGGAATCCGGGACTTCCCCTGTGCTGTTTGCCAGAGGCGAATGACTCGGCTCTAAATATTAATTAGCGTGATGTCAGGTGCATGAAATATGCCGGAGATAAATTACTGCTATTGTTTATTACATTTACAAACTTATCGTTTTGCCCAGAGGTTGGAATAATGAAGACAGAATACTTTATTATTTCGGTCTCTTCCTCAACGTTCAGGAAACCCAGCCTCGTCCCTTTGCATCCCATTTCTAAGTGACTAGTCCTCTTGACTGCTCACCCTCATGGGCTGGGCCACCCTGGGCAGGAGGGGCTGTGCATTCCAGAAGCAGGGAGTCATCTGGGAGGAAGGCGTAGTTTTGCTGAACTATCGAGAAATCTCTTCCACCCTTGAAATATTGTGGTGCGGAAATCTTGCGCCCGCATAGTTGGACCTGTTCTCATTTCGATTTTTAATATGAATTTTTGGGATGGACAGACATGATAGAGATAGATTGGTTTATGGATGGATGGATGGATGGATGGATGGATGGATGGATGGATGGNTTTATTTCCTCTGGGAGGGGCCATTCATCATCCACCTGTGGCCATACTACTAACTCGATCCCTGTTCTTTAGCTGTTCTCTTCGTCTGGCAACTCTGCGCATTCGCACACTGGGAACAGGCTCCAGCTGGGAGGGGCCATTCATCATCCACCTGTGGCCATACTACTAACTCGATCCCTGTTCTTTAGCTGTTCTCTTCGTCTGGCAACTCTGCGCATTCGCACACTGGGAACAGGCTCCAGCTGGGAGGGGCCATTCACTGTCCATCTGTGGCCTTACTCCCAAACCGACCCTTGTTCTTTAACTGTTCCCTTTGTCTGACAACTCTGCACATGCGCACATTGGGAACAGACTCCAGCTATTTGTCTGCCTCACTGATGTCTGACTCCGAAGGCAGCTGATAGCCGGCAGACGGCCCTGGCCCCCTTTCTGCCTCCAACACAGAGCCCTCATCAGAGCCTTCCCCAGACTCCAGGACTGGCCTGTGTTCCTCCCCAACCTCCTCACTGTCCGAATCTGCTGCCAGCTCTGCTGGCTGCTGGCGAGCTACAACACAAGCAAAGTCAGTGGGGAAGCTTCACTTTACAGCCATGCTGCTAACTTAACAGCTGCAGTGATTCACTCAACAGCGATGACAAGAAAGATCGTAGAATGGAGCAAGATTCATTTAACAACTGTCACGCTTAGCAACAAATTTTGCCCTCAGTTGTGGTCTGTATGGAATTTAGATATACATTTACAGCAAAAACAAAATATATGGCTTCCTCAAAGCAGATGACAGATCATTCCATTATGAGCAGTACTTTTAGTGCCAGGAATCATTTCTTTGTCCAAAAATGCTACACAGATGAAAATAGACATAGATTTTAACAAGTATTGTATGAATAGTACTTTAAAATCATGTGTGAATCATGGACATGTTGAAATCATTTGGGTTCAGCCATCCACAAAAATCTTTTTGGGACTAAAGTTTTCCTCATAAAACAGAAATAAAATTCTTGGGCAAAAAAACCCCCATTTCCTTTTGAAAACACAGCCTGCAAATTGATGCAAAGTGCCGAGAACATGTTTTGAATTCTTTTGACAAACCGGGTGTCTTCTCTGGAAGTCAAGAGTGAACTGCGTTAGAACCTGTAACCTTACTTTTACTAAATATTACTGTTTTTTCCTTGGCATCATGGAAATTCCTCCTGTATCCTTTGCATGTACAGGTCATCCATCCTGCTTGAAGTTCTCCCCAGAATTAACCGTTCGGGTGAAGGCCTTACGATGGCAGTGCATTGAGTGCAAAACCTGCAGTTCCTGTCGAGACCAGGGCAAAAATGCTGTGAGTATCTGAGCTGAAGGTTTTATTGGCTGGATCAGTGGTCTGGAAGTTACATCACACAGCAATAGCACTTAGACTTATATGCCGCTTCACAGTGCTTCACATCCCTCTCTAAGCAGTTTATAGAGTCAGCCTCTTGCCCCCAACAATCTGAAGGATGGAAGGCAGAGTCAACCTTGAGCCCATCAGGATCGAAATGCTGCCTATGTGCAGAGTTAGCCTGCAATACTGCATTCTAAGGGAGGGAGGGAGCAAGGGAAGGGAGGGGAGGTCAGGCAGGCAGACAGGAAGGAAGGAAGGAAGGGAGCAATAACACTTGGACTTGCATACGACTTTACAGCCCTCTCTAAGTGGTTTACAGAATCAGTCTCTTGTCCCCAACAATCCAAGTCCTCATTTTACCCACCTTGGAAGGATGAAAGATTGAGTCAACCTTGAGCCGGTCAGGATCGAACTCCTGGCAGTGGGCAGAGTTTGCCTGCAATGCTGCATTCCAACCACTGCACCACCATGGCTCCTAAGATGATCTTGGCCTGGATAAAACTTAGAGTAATCTCTTTTGCAGAATTCATCTTGTTTGCACTTGTACACTGTGATTTGATTTGGCAACCGTCACGTATACCTTTGTAACATCCAAATTAGAGCACTTTAAAGATACTTTGGGACTATTTGGAAACTACAGCTGGCACAAAGTGGGGGGAGTCCAGCTGGAGCTTACTGCAGGAAACTGTTGTAACAATTGTTTTACTCCCAGCATGTTTCTGGATCTAATCCAAAACTCTGAGGTTACCTTTTAATGCTCCAAAGGGCCTTGTATTCTGTGAACTACTATATTTCCCGTGGGCCTGACCATTTTCTAAAACCATCAAGTGCAGGGGATGCTTTGTGTCATTCTGTGGCTAACATTAGATAAATTGGTTTGCAGGAGAGCATTTTTGTGGTCCTTGTACTTGGTGATCTTTTTAATTTTCTCTTTCCAAAGCACATAGTGGAGAAACCTGGCTGATTTTACTTACTTACTGTATTTTTCAGAGTATAAGTTAATGCACCTTTTTCCCTCAAAAAAGAGGCTGAAAATCTGGGTGCGTCTTATACACTGAATACAGCATTTTTGGCCTCCTGAAACCCTGCCCCTTCACCAAAATGACCATGCAGAGCCTGTAGAAAGGCTGTTTTTGCTCAATTTTGCCCCCCCCCGCACCCCCAGGAGTACTCTATAAGCCTCCTAAAGACTATGCATGCAATTTTTTTGACAAAAAACGGGCCCGTTTTCGTGAAAAATGGGCCATTTTTTGCTCGTTTGGGGGGCACCCCCAGGAACACTCTGCAAGCTCCCTAAAGGCTATTCATGCCTTTTTTTGGTGGGGGGGGGGGAACAAGCCCGTTTTTGTGAAAAATGGGCCATTTTTGGGAGGTTTCCAGAATGCAAAAACTTTTTTTAAAAATTTGCCTCTTCAAAATCTTGGTCCGGTGCGTCATATATTCTGGTGCGTCTTATACTCCGAAAAATACGGTATTTTTATTTATGTAAACATTATTTAAGATGGTTTTTTTTAAAATAGAAAAGCAGAAGACAACTATGTGAAAACAAAAGCTGACACTTTAAAAAGAGCAATAACAAAATATTTCTTCTCATGCTTCCTAGTTTAATATGTTACTTATCACAATAGTGAAAAAATTATTGAAAAGTTAATTTCGTACGCAATAGTTCCAAAATGATGACAATGTAATTGGTAACGAAATGACAATAAATCAGTAAAACAATCAAACTGGAATGTGAGCAGGAAGGATTTATAATTTTCAATTACTACAGACAGAAGTCAGCTTTGAATGAAAAAAAAAATTGCAAAACCAGTTTTACACCTGGCTGTCTTGTTGAATGGGTTTTTTCATCAGGTTTCGTACAGAAGGTAGCCTCTGTTGGTCTTCTAATTTTAGAATATGAGCAAGGCATATGAAATAAGTTATTTATCAGAGGGCTGGTGACAGTTATGAAGAAGACATTCTCTTAATTCATTAATTGAGCCAATTTGGTCTAGTGGTTAAGGCACCAGCCTGGAAAGTGCAAGACCGTGAGTTCAAGATCCGCCTTAGGAATGAAAGCCGGCTGGGTGACTTCGGGCCAGTCCCTCTCTCTCTCTCAGTCCAGCCCACCTCACAAAGTTGTTGTATGTTTGGGAGTACAGGATTATGTTTGCCACCTTTGAGTTATTTGTAAAAATAATAAGTTTATTTGGGCTACAAATAAAATAAATAAATTGGTTACAGAAGGTAAATTTATATCCTGCCTTTCCTTTTAGAATGCAAAGTAGTACATTCCATCACCAGTTTTATCCCCACAACAGCCCTGGGAATAGGTTAGACCAGTGGTTCCTCACTTTTTCTTCACCATACACCCCCTTTAAATACCCTTTGTGGCCACGGACGCCCGAGACTCACATTTCTTCAAGCCTTTGTGGTCCCCCCGTGATGACATCATGGCTGCCCAGGGGTCCATGAACCACAGGTTGAGAACTGTTGGGTTAGGCTGAGAGCAGATAATGGGTCCAGAATTATCTGGTGAACTTTTGTGGCTGGGGAATGGCCTCAAAGTTGCTATAACCGCTATATCCCAGTGGCTCCCTTAGGTATTCTGAACCGTGGCCAAAAGCATTGATGGCCTCCATGTTGTAACTCTCGGAGTGTGCACATACAATGCATTAACCAGAAACTTCTGTGCCATTACAGGATAATATGCTCTTTTGTGACTCGTGTGATCGGGGCTTTCATATGGAGTGTTGTGATCCTCCTTTGACCAGGATGCCAAAAGGTAAGGAGGAGGGGGCAGGGTGAAAAATGATACAAGAAGGAAAGGTAAACCTTTTCTGATTATGTGGAAAATCTTGAGCACACAGGATAGAATTCATAGGCAGAACAATTTACACATTTGCGCTCCAATGCAAGAAAAGAAGGTCTTATTTTCTTTTATCCCTGAAATAAGCACTTGGTCTTATTTTCGGGGAGGTCTTATTATTTTTGAGGAGCAGGAGGCAGCGAGCGTGGTCACCTCATGGCTGATGCTGTGTTGCAATATTTTGGGGGAAGATTTATTTGGGAGGGAGGGCTTATTTTAGTGCATGCGCTCAAAAGCCGACTGGGCTTATTATCCAGGAAGGTCTTATTTTCGGGAAAACAGGGTAGTTTTCTTCCTTACTTTTATATGTGAAGCTCTGGGGAGATGTCATTCGGTGGTTCAGGGTGTGGTGGCATCATCAATATCTTTGGTGTCCTAGGGATGGCCAGGACTTGGATGGGAGAGAGTACGCGCTTGGTAAATCTGAGTTGCTGTGAACACACTGGAGTTTTCCAGCACCTCATCAAGCATTCCCTGTCAATGAACAGGTTCACAATGTGGGAATCCTTCTGGATTCATGATGGAACAGCCGGTGGATGTCATGGCTAGAATGTTCCCAACTTCAGCTGGTGCTTCAGTTGCAACCCTACCTCAGGCATTGTTCTGACCTAGGCTTCCTGAGACAGTAAAAATCACACACTTAGTCTCCAAAACCCCTTTTTAAAATTTGAACAGCTGTGAATCATGTTTTTCACAGCCCATAATGATTCACAATTAGTCTGTGAAGAGCCCAACAGAAGTCTGCCACAGTCTTTCAGGGTAAGGCTGATAAGCACCCACCTTTATCTCCCTTGGAACACTGCCAGAGACCTAATTGCCAGTTAGTTTTGCAAGGCCAAATTGAGCACAGAGTCAAACAGGATTTCTCAGAGCTTGAACCGACCAGAATGAACAAATTGCTTCCTGCAAAGGCTCACCTGCCTTTGCTCCTCTTTTATGTCTTATGGGAGGGGCCAATCATCTCCAAGCCTTATTCCTGAGTCGCCCCTTTTGCTTTAACTGTTCTTGCCTTCTGGCAGCTCTGCGCAAGTGCGCACCGGGAAAGGCTCCCCCTGTTCCTCTGCCTCGCTGATGTCACACTCTGGAGGCTCCGGAGGCAGCACATAACTACCAGATGGCCTTAGCTCCCTCTCTGCCTCCAATGCAGATCCCTTGTCCAAGCCTTTCCCAGACTCTAGGACTGGCCCATGTTCCTCCCCAACCTCCTCACTGTCTGACTGCTGCCAGCTCTCTGAAGGCTGCCTGCAGACCACACCAGGCACAATGAATCTAGCAGTAATTGTCCTGCTTATCGCCATCTAGCTAGACTTCTGTAATGTGCTCTGTTTGTGGTTTCCCTTAAAAATTACCCCAACACTACAATTGATCCAACAATGCACCAGCTTGCCTACTCTTTGGCGTCTGTTGTTGGAAGTACGTATATAACACTGGTTTGTGAACCCTGCATTAGTTGCCAATTGGCTTCCAGATACANTGTTGGAAAACGGTGGGCACCTCGAGAAGGCAGGGGTTGTCTTGATAATGAGAGGCTATATTTTGCGCGTCAATTATCCTTGCCCACCCTGGATCATGTGGGCCTAAAGGAGCATCCATTGTTCAGCCAGCTTCTCTTTTGGACCAAGGTGCCAATAAAACTTCCCTCCCCCCCCCATATATTTTCTCCTGCCAGTGTGATTTGGACCCAGCTTCTTTTCAACTTTGTGTTCATTGTGAAGTATTTTGACTTTTAACGGGAGAAGCAATGAAGCAATGAAGCAACTTAGCACCCCAAGTTCTACCATCTCTCACCTGAGGTGAAAGTCAGGCATTTTTATACAGTAATTTGCAAACATGCTAATTAATGAAAGCTTGTGTTCTCTTTCTCCCCCCTCTTCCCCCCCTCCCTCCCCTTGCAGCCAGTTGCTGAACCAATCCCAATCTGCAGTTTCTGCCTTGGTACAAAAGAACAAAACCGAGAAAAGAAACCAGAGGAGCTCATCTCTTGTGCTGATTGCGGCAATAGTGGTAGGTGACTTTCCATGTAAAATTTGGGGCACTAAGGTTTGTTGGCGCTGGTGATGATCTGTTCATCTGGTTGGAAACATACACACACACACACACACACACACACACACACACACACCATTTGGTCTTTGTACTACTGTAGGCCTGATTGCAAGTAAATATTTTCTAAAGATAAATGGTAATTATTATAACGTCCTGGCACTGTCACAAGGCTCTCAACTGCATTGATTGCTAGGCGATTCTCTATCAGTTGCAGGAAAGGCCCAGAGGTCAGCCCTTGTTTATGAGCATTAATTCCCAGCTATTCAGAGGTTTACTTTTGAGTTTCAATGGAGATCATGCATGACTCTGTCAGTGTGCGCTGTTTAAACCAGATGCTGCTCCTTTGTCCTTGTGGCTCAGGGTCTAGAAGTTAGAGTTGATATAACTGTTGTGGCCCGCAGATTCGGACAGTGAGGAGATTGGGGAGGAACATGGGCCAGTCCTGGAGTCTGGGGAAGGGTCTGATGAGGGCTCTGTGTTGGAGGCAGAGAGGGGGCCAGAGCCATATACCAGTTATCAGCTGCCTTCGGAGTCAGACATCAGTGAGGCAGACGAACAGCTGGAGACTCTTCCCAGTGTATGCATGTGCAGAGTTGCCAGCTAAGGAAGAGAGGTCGACTTGGGAGTAAGGTCACAGGTGGACAATGAATTCCCTCCCCCCCAGGGAATAAAACAGAAGCAAAAGGGGAGTGGAGCTTGCAGGAGACAATTAGTTCATTCCTGAATTCTTGCCAAGTATTGCTGTGTCTGAAAGAGATCGCCCTGGCTACTCTCCAAGTCTGATAAAGGTCGGTAATTGTGAACTATCTTAAAAGACTGAGGAAGAGGAAGGAATTTGCTGGAGAGGAATTCACTGTCAATGAAATAAAAGGGATTTATTGGGATGAGGACTCAGCTTCGTGCTGCTGGGGAAGGACACATTCACATCAAACCACAACTTTTTGTTCTTCCATAATAATATAAATTAGCCATCTCTATAAGGATTTATCAATATAATCGACAAAACCCAAAATCAGAATTTCATTGTTTTCCATCTCAAGAACAAAGTTCAGAAGTGGTTTCCATGTGGAAACAAAAGTACTTCTATTCTTTTCACACTCCCAACTGTTCATTAAGATGTGTTCCTGGTTTGGGTTGGTTGTTTTCTTGG